CCAGCCTCCGGGCCTCCTCCTCCTCTGCCAGCCTCCGGGCCTCCTCCTCTGCCAGCCTCTGGGCCTCCTCCAGCCTCCGGGCCTCCTCCTCCGCCAGCCGCTGTGCCTCCAGCCTCCTGCGCTCCTCCAACTCCCTCTTCTCCCGCTGCCGCTGCTCAGCTTCCTGCTCGGCCTCCTCCCGCAGACGCCTCCGCTCCTCCTGCTCCCGCAGCTCCTGCTCCCCACAGCCCTGTTCTTCCAGGCTCCGCTGCTGCCCTTCTTCCTGGGGCCCCTTCGCAGCCTCCGGCAGCGGTGGCTCCTCACCCTCCTCCTCCTCTCCCTCCTCTTCCAACAGCTCCTGCCTTCTGCTTTCCTCCCACAGTCTCCGCTCCAGTGCCTGCAGCCTCTGCTCTTCTAGACGCCTCTTCTCAGCCGCTTCGGCCTTCTGCCGCTTGCACTTGGCCTCCAGGTCTCGCCAGTAGTCTTCCTGGCGTCGTCTCTCTTCCTCAACACCCAGCAGCTCTGGTCTGTCTCCTCCAGGGTGCCCGTTCTCGTGGAGGGAGGGCTGACTCTCCAGCCCCAGCTCCTTCCGCCGGTCCTAGCAAGGAGAAGGGAAACGATGAGCCTAGGCTTTTTCCCACAGGCAGCCTGTGCTTCCCACTCCAATGCAGCTGGCGCTGTGTCTTGCAAAAGACGGGACAGGTGTTTCCCAAGAACAGCTAGGGCAGCCTCCCCTTACCTGAAGTTTGGCTTCTCACTTGGCCTTACCAGCCGTTAACCAAATATTAAATGGGAAACCAAGGAAATAATTCATGCACTTTATTTGGGAGACAGGGTTTTGCTATGCAGTCTAGGCTGGCCTTGAACCCACTGTGTAGTCCAGGCTGCCCTCAAACGCCTAGCAATCTTCCTGCCTCTGCCTCTCACCTGCTGGGATTACAAGCGTGCACCACCATGCCCAGCTCCTTTTCCTTAGTAAGAATGAACAATAGGAAAGTGAATAGCACATCACTAGGAAGTCCACCCAGGCAGACTGAAGTTGTTTTGGCTAAGCCATGGCAAGGAAGAGCTGGCTGGCCTTCCGCCGCAAGGCAAGCAGAAAGCTTGTGGAGCCCTCCACAGCCCACCAGCAAGGGCAGCAGAAGGCAAACAGACCTGCTGGATACGCTCAAGTTCCCAGTGGGGAAAGAGCTCGATCCCTCTGCAGCTCCACCCTGTGCCAATCTACCGGGCAGAATTAGTGCCTGGCAAGTAGTGGTACCTGCCCGGCCAGCCAAGACAGGGTCTGCTCACCCAGGCAAGTCGCCTGTGCTTCTTTGACACCCTCTGGTTTTTTGGCTTAACAGACAGTTTGTGCTTGGCGGCACTGTTGTCCAGGCGAGCGATGGCCAGGGGAATGGCATCGAGGTTGACACTTTCGATGGTGCCGGCAGAAGACAAGTGCCTTTTTGGCCGAGACGGTTTAACCGGAGCAGGCTGTAAGGCAGATTAAGATACAAAGTCAGTCTGGACCAGAAACCTGCAGGGAGTCCCCAAACAGTCCTGCTCAGGGGGAGCCTGCGCCCGCAGGCAGACGGGCTTGTGGGTACCAGGAAGCGAGGCCCGGTTTCAGAGTCAGTAAGGCCCAGTGTTAGGCACATCTCTGTCATCTTGGCATCAGTCCTTTCTATGCCCAAGTAGCAAATCCCACCTGGTAAGTGCTCACCCGTACCTGTTAAAGGGTGAAAGAACAAAAGTCTCTAAGCCTAGAAGATGCCATTTATGGTCAGCAAAACTGTTTTGGCACCATCACTCCCAAGTCGTAGGGTGCTGAGTGCACCAAAAAGACTGAACGTAAAGGGCTCCGGTGGGAAAATGAGGGGCAGAAATGTGCACCAGGCTCAGGTACAGTTCCTCAAAGGGTAAACCGGGCAACAGCCTGCACTTCCGGGTGCAGGTGCAGTCACTAGGGAACCACAGCGTCAGACTGACTGGACACTTTAGAAAGGTCAGAGTGACGTCAGCACAGACTACACCAGAGGTGGGCAGCTCGGACAGCAGGAAGCCACGCCTGTCACCACAGAGAACTGGGACAGGCCGAGTCAGGCTCCTGGCTGCCCCCACCCAAGGCTCTGCACACGAGGGCAGCGCTGGACGGGAGCGCACACGTTTGACTGCGTGCGTGCACCAAGTGCAGAGTCCACGCGGGTTAGCCAAGGGCTTGCTTTCTGCAAAGCCCACCTTCCGTACTGATGCACAGAAGATGAAAGCAGACTAACCCCAAGAGCGAGATGGAAGGTCGGTACATAGTAACTTAGGACATGCTCAGAAAAAGTACTTCCGGCCTTTGGCCTTCTGGCTTTCATTTATTTATGCTTATCTTTACAGTAGGTACGGAATTCTGATTGAGAAGAGACAGACTAAGCATTTACTTCTATCCCCTAAGAGATGTACAGTGAAATGAAGTTGGGACAGTGACAGACTGCAGACAGACGTGGTAGGCTGAGCCGGAAGCGCCTGCCACGTTTCTAGTTAATCCCAGCGTCCCCCGAACTGTCTGAGCTGTCCCTGTCGGTGAGCAGACCTATGCACTGTCGCCTCTGCCAGACCTCGGGAGGAGGCCGGTCCTCTGAGCAGGTGAAGTCCTTATCAGAACTAATCAGCTCCTATGGAAGAGTACTCAGGGATGAAGGTCTAGAGTCCCTGGACTCCTGCAGGCAGAGTCCCAGGTTTAAAAAGGACCTAAAAATGTAATATATATATTATCATATATAATATATTATATATATGATAATATATAATATATTATATATAATATTATA